ATATATGGTAGCAAGTGCTATAATTGTAGCACATATGGTTCAGGAGTGCTGGGTAGCCCAAGGTGAGAGAGCCCGAAAATGAAAACATGCTGGTGTCTACTGTGGGAAAGCTCCCATCTCCCTACCAGATATGGAAACCAGCTTTATATACATATATTAGGTCCCAGTATCAAAATCAGGGCAATCCATCCAGCGGTTATAGTACAGCAGGTACCTGCTCCTACTCCCTGAGCATCCAGCAAAGAATCCGTGTTCCCGGGTGGAATCTAGCCCGATTAGCCCAGGTAAAAGTGGAATAAAATACTATATGTGTATACCATTGTGATATTCCAGGGCCAAACCCTGAAACCTGTGTGGATGACTATACTGATTAGATTTTTACCAAGTGAGCTCCCCATATTATATGACAATCCTTTTGTTTGAAGAATACAGTATATGAGTCTTGTATGGAAAAGGCATAAATGCCCCGTCTATGCCACGCTTGCGGTGGCCTGTCCTCTGGTTAAGGCATGCTTGCACCTGGAGCATGCCGTTTAGGTGTCCTTTAGGAATTTGTCTATGTTCTGTGGGCGTGGTGCACGAGGATTTTTTGTGGTACTCAGCTATGCGCTCCTTGGCCTTCGTCAGCGCGGACATCGGCCTCCAGAGGTTGTAGATGTCCGGCCAACCCTCCCACTTGATGTAGTACTGGAAACCACACTTGTTCCGAGTTGGCTGACTGTCCATAATGAGCTCCACCTCATACTCCTCCTCATCGTCAACCAAATCTGGCGGGTTCTGCAGGAAGTTGGGGCCATATTCCGGTGTCTCTACATAGGGGGTTAGGAGATGGGCGTGGAAGACCGGATGGATACGTTTCCAGGTCTTAGGGATGTCCAACCGGAAGTTGAGGGCCTTCTCAGGGTCGCTGCCGATAACTTCTGTGACGGTGAAGGGGCCATAGTGTTTGGCGTCGAGCTTGGCCTTCGCACGGACGGTTTTGACGTTCCTCCCTTCCAACCACACCTTATCACCCACTTTGTACGCCTTGTACGCGGTGTCGCTGGCGCCGTGGTGGTCCTTCATAAGGTCGGCGGCGATGCGTAGACTGGCCTGCGCCTCCTCACGGATTGACTCCAGGTGTCGGAGCCGTTCCGTGAGCTTGGGGAACCGTGAGGACGTGACCAGTGGAGGGTAAGCGCGGGGCGCAAAGCCGTAGAGAAGCTCGAATGGTGATTTGCCCGTTGCAGAGTGGACTTGGGAGTTATGTACGAACTGGGCAATGGGAAGCCAGTCCACCCAATCGTCCTGCCGGTGGTTGCAGAAGGCGCGAAGGTACTGTTCCAGCTCCTGGTTAAAGCGCTCTGTCTGGCCATCCGTCTGAGGGTGGTACAAGGTGCTGAGGGAGGACGTGACACCAAGCTTGGTCAGGAGCGTGCGCGTGGTGTCGCTTGCAAACTGACTACCCCGGTCTGAGATGAGCTGTTCCATAAGACCTGTA